GTTGGGTGTTTGGGTGTGTGGCATTGTTTTTAATGAACTGCACTTTGTTGTTGACTGAGTTTTTTGTTAGCAACAAGTCCATATTTCTCTAACTGTGCACAATCTAAGTTTGGTCACCATGTAAACTGTGATCAATAGTGTGTATAAAATCTAAAAATGTATTTAGACTCAAAGCTCCAAACTCTACCAACTATTTTCAAAAATAATAGTTTTGCTGTACTCACCTTCATGTTAACCATGAGAAGAGCTATGACCAAGATGCTCTGCTGCAGAAACAGACAGAAACCAGTAGTGTGGTTGAAACACTGTTGCAATGCATGAACTCGAAAGGCTTTTCTTGGTAGCACCAAAATATTTATGCTCAAGGTCACATTAGTAGTGACTGGTGTAAGTGTATTTAGGGCCAGGTTAAGGGTTTTGGAGGCCACAGGAGGCTGCTACATTTTTAGGCCCCTCTGTGTAGTTTTAAAGCAAGTAAAACCCAAACATTCTGCACCTTTACACATTAGTATAGGCTATTCAAAAAAATATAATGTAAGTTAATACATTAATAGACAATAGAATTTGTATTTAAATAAGCACCAAATCATGCAGTACAACTAAAATTTTCATTAACTTCTTGGGCTCTTTTTAAAGACAATACAGAAAAGTGTGTTTACTTTGTTGAAATGTTTCGGCTGCTGCATCTTCAGAACTGTCACCGGTGTTGGTGGTGACGTGTCGTATACCAGCCGTTGTTACTTCCTGTGGGCGTGATCAGCCGTTGTTACTTCCTGTGGGCGTGATCAGCCGTTGTTACTTCCTGTGGGCGTGATCAGCTGTTGTTATTTCCTGTAGGAGTGGTCAGCTGTTGTTACATCCTGTAGGCGTGGTTAGCTGTTGTTACTTCCTGTAGGCGTGGTCAGCTGTCGTTACTTCCTGTGGGTGTGGTCAGATGTTGTTACTTCCTGTAGGCCTGGTCAGCTGACGTTACTTCCTGTGGGCGTGGTCAGCTGTCGTTACTTCCTGTGGGCGTGGTCAGTTGTTGTTACTTCCCGTAAGCGTGGTCAGCTGTCGTTACTTCTTGTACGCGTCATCAGATGTTGTTACTTCCTGTAGGCGTGGTCAGATGTTGTTACTTCCCGTAGGCGTGGTCAGATGTTGTTACTTCCCGTATACGTGGTCAGCCTGATGGACCTGGCAGGTGGCTCAGACTGACCACGCCTCCCGTCGCCCGGTGGTCTCTGGAGGAGGGTGTCCCAGGTGTGTGAAAGGAGGAACGCTCTGTCATCACGGTTAATGCTGTCCGTGCCTCGTTTCCTTATTTCACTGTCCTCCCTGATCCAGTGAACTTGAACAATTTATAGTTTTCTGATCCAATGACCCGAGCCCCGTCCCCATCCATAATGTGCTTATTTCTTTTACAGTGGGTCTGATATGGCGGATTTGAGGTTTTCCTGTTCTGTTTTGTCTTTTTGGGTTCTGGTGAGTCTCTCTATTCCTGTTCTTTTGTTTCGGATGTGAAATACCCAGCCCGTTTCCCCTGTATGATTTATTGCATGATTTGCGTTGGATTTCGTATATGGTGTTGCATTTTTGTTTTTTGGGGTGTACTAGCCATCGGCAGAGTTTTGTGAATGGTTTGACTACATTGCTTATGTTGTGTTTTTCATGGCTTTCTGGATGGGCTCAGTTATTCTTCTAATGTGCGGTAGTGTGACTGTGTTTGTTCTTATGATCCTGCTTCCCTATTGTTTTTTTGTTGTTGTTTTTTTTCTGGCATTAGTTGGTTTTATTGATGACTTGTTGTCTGCCTTTTCATGACCCATTTGGGATATTAACATTGTTTGTGTGAGTGTCTCTCCTCCTCTTCCCTGTCGGTGTGGTCTGTGATGAGTGGGGCTCATCTGAACACTGTCCTTAATACTGAAAGTTTGTGTGCAGTGGTGTGTTAGTTTCAGTTAGTTACCTCCTCCCTGCAGATATAAGGAAGTGTCCACCAGCGTCTGACCAGAACTGAAGAAGCAGTTTGGATGAACTGCGAAACGTCTTCAACCAAACTAACTTTTGTCCAGTCGACTAACTGAATTTTTCTCCTCATGTGCAGTGGGATGTTCGGGTGTCCACAGTAAATATTGGTCAGTGTGAGTGGATTTCCTGTTTACTGTAATTTTGATGCTGCCACATCGCAGACAGTGGCAGCATCAAAAAAGACAAAGCAGAGCAGGAAAACCTAAAATCCGCCATATCAGACCACCGCAAAAGAAATAAGCACATTATGGATTGGGACGGGGCTCAGGTTATTGGATCAGAGAACAGGAAGTTCAAACACTGGATCAGGGAGGACAGTGAAATCAGGAAACGAGGCACGGACAGCATCAACTGTGATGAAAGAACATTTCTCCTTTCACACACCTGGGACGCCCTCCTCTAGAGAACACCGGGCGACGGGAGGCGTGGTCAGTCTGAGCCACCTGCCAGGTCCATCTGGCTGACCACGCCCACAGGAAGTAACAACAAAAAATAAGGAACCCAATAAGTTAAAGTACATAAGAAGACAAAATGAACATCTTTGGCTTAACTATATTTTCAATCTGAGAACACTGACTATCTTACCCCAAAAAGTTTACAAAAGAAGCAGTACACATTTGCAGTAGAATGTGCAGTAGAAAAGCACATTCCCTGTCAACTCTTTCTTCATGTGTTGATTTTTGCAAACCCACTCTGACGCTGATAAATACACTGTTTATTTTTGACACTGTAGGGATGAAGAATTCTCTCACACAGCTTTTGCTCGCAGCTCCAGTGATTTCTTTACAAAATAGCAGCAGCAATGTTTGACCCACTGCACTTCATCAGGCAGCCTTCCACCGCCATTGGATCTCTGAGGTCCTTCCAGATCAGGATTAGGTTACGAATACAATTTCTCCAGTGCTGACTTGGTTCTCACAAATTATATTCTTGGTTCCATTGCTCCAAGAAATTATTTCTGAAGTAGAACTCTTTTTCTTCCACTGGACACTGGTATGTTCTTGTAGATAAAAGCTGGTGTTAAATAGAGCTGAGGGTCACAGAGTCTCCTGGCTGTACTCTGATGTAGTCTGGCACAGACGGCAAGAGTAAAGGAGGAGGTCTGGACTTTTCTTCAACCACCAACACACAGTCCCTGATCCAAAAGTGACATCGTACTTGTTTATGATTCCACAGTAGTACGTGCCGGCATCCTCCCAGGTCACATTTGATACACTCAAAGTACTATTAACTTCAGAATCATGAGCACAAAGTAACGATCTTCAGTGTATATACTTTTCCTTTTATTGTTAATTACTGAAGCCATCAGTTGTAGTCTTCTGCTGGTGTACCAGTTCTTGGACCACTGTAGACTTTACAGTTTACATGAAATGTGGCTCCTGGAGATGTTTGGAGGACTTTCATCTGACTAGCCTTTACTGAAAAAAATGACGTCTGTAAGTCAAGGTTTATTAAATGTATTGATCATGTTGTACTGATCATGTTACTTACCCAAAGGCCCGAGCAGGATCACAGCGAGAAAGACAATTATCCTTTCCCAAAAGCATTCTGATCTAAAATAAAGTGGGGATGAAATTTAAGGTCCGGCCACAGCTATCTGATTGGTCAAAACATCCATCCATGTGCCATAACCTGATTGGATCCCCAGTTAGAGATGGTATGCATATTTTGGTGAAATACAAACCATGTGTCTATTATACGATGAACATAGTTGAATCCTAATTTAACATTATAAAATGTTTCTGTCTAACCTCACCTCCAACAAGATGTGTATTTCATCTTTTTTTTTTTAACCACTAAGGTCATGGGTTATGGGTTATAGGGTTGGTTTGTTGAGATAAATTTGACCTGCCACTGTTTCATAACCTTTTCTCAGAAACTTTCAGGCATTGATTACAATATGAGTAGGTCACTTGTTATCACGTAAAACTGGAACAAAATCTCTCAAAACATTTGGCAACACCATGCTCTTTCTGATTGCGAATCTGAGTTGTAACTGGTGCAGCAAAACTTACATTTCCCTCAGGATCAATAAAGTATCCAAGTATGTGTCTCTCTCTGTGTCTTGTACAGAAACAGATTTGAAAGTGGATTTTGTTTCATCAACATTTACAGTTTTTTTTGTTATTTTAGCCATGTTTTTTCTCTGGTGGTTTAATTTGTTTATGTTGCAGGGTCTGCCAAATGTTTGTGGTGTGGAGATGTCATTGCTTTGCCTAGATTTCTCAGTAGTTAGCATTAAAATGATCTATCTCCATGGAAACAAGCAGGTTATACCACTAGGCCAAATTACAGGTCAGATCCGTGGAGAAGGCCCATGCTCGCAGCCAGAATACACATTTTCATGATCATTTTAGCTGTGGGTCAGAGCTGTTGTTTCTTCCTGAGGAGGGGTCGGCCTGACAGACGCAGCAGGTCACTCAGACTGAACACGCCTCAGGAAGTAACGATCCACACCTCACAACCAAGACCAGGGACAGTTCAGAGGATTATCAGCTCACAGTCAAACATGTCAACTACACAAAATACATCTCCTAAGTATCAACTTTAAAAGAACCAAAGCTGTGAATACAAGCCACTACAAGTTGTACTCTGCATTTTGACTCTGAGGCAGGGTTTGAGAGTAGGGATTTTTTTTTTTTTTTTATTTTTTGATAAAAAGGACACAATCAAAACATTTTTCCACAGATATTTATCATATACAAGACAACATTTTTCACTCAGACAGTTTGACTTGTCTCAATAGAGGGAGTTTGCAAATACAGAACAAATATAAAACATTAAAATGTACATAGCATGTTGGAATAGTTGAGATGTTGAGCCTCTTGAAATGCACTGTACTGTATATTATGATTATGATTATTATGATTATGATTATTAATTAAGTACAATAAAATTCAGTAAATCCTTGTAGCTTTCTATTTAAATTCTGCTTGTGTGATATTATGTCTTTTGGATGAATCTTCTCTGGAGAGTAAAGTGGTGGCTCCTCAGGAGGTTTCTCTTGAGCCTCTGCTGGGGCCTACATTCACCCGTGCATAGATGATTCCATCTTCAGCCTAAAAAAGAGCACAAACAATTAATCTCTGTACATGCAGATGAGAGTAAAGACTATCTGAATATGGACGACAAATGACTCTGACCTGGTTGTCCTGATGAACTCCACGGCCAGTGTCTAACAAACACATTCATTATTAATTCATTATCACAGTGCAATTCTGAAATGATTGAAAAAGGGAAAATACATGAAAGTTTATACCTGGCTCTTGTTTTTGGTGGTTTCTGCACAGCACACATACCAGCCCAAGCAGGGGAACTGCAAGACCAGTGCTCAACCCAATCACTGCTAAGACTGTTGGCCTCAGACAAAACACGACAGATGATCCTTCTATACAGGAGTCTGTGTCTACAGAAAGAATATGAGTCAATTCTGCTGCTGATCAATAATACTCGAGTATACAACTGATGTTCAAGTTGTTCAAGTATCATGTTAATGTCAAGATTTCTTTAGTGGTAAAAGAAATGTATAGAGCTGTTAATGTTACTTTGCTTCTTACCGTGAGGCTGGATTTTGGTCCCTCTGCCCTGCAGTGTGTGTCCACAGGCCGTCACCACACAGACAAACATCTCATCTTCAGCAGAACTCAGGTCACTCCAGGTCTGGGTATGAACACATGAAGTTTCTCCAGTGTTGACTTGTTTCTCACAGATGATATTCTTGGTTCCATTGCTCCATGACATTGTTTCTGAAGAAGAAATCTTTTTCTTCCACTGGACACTGATGTGGTCTTTTGTACAGAGGCTTGTATTAAACCAACAGCTGAGAGTCACAGAGTCTTCTGGCTGCACTCTGATGTAGTCTGGACTCTGGAGCACAGACAGGACGGATGGTGGAGGTCTGGACTTTCCTTCAACCACCACCACAGTCCCTGATTCAAAGTTGACATCGTGCTCATTCATGACTCCACAGTAGTATGTGCCGGCGTCCTCCCAGGTCACACTGGATACACTCAAAATGGTATTGTCTTCAGAAGACTGCACTAAATAACGTGAATCTTGGTAGATATTTTGACCTTTACGGGGATTTGCTGATGCCATCAGGTGTAGTCTCCTGCTGGAGTCCAGTTTGTACCAGACCACAGTTCTTGAACCACTGTAGACTTGACAGTTTACATGTAATGTGGCTCCAAGTGTTGTGGTTTGAGAGAATTCAGGTTGAGATTGTGTCTTAACTAGAATTTTAAAAAAAGAAAAAGAAAAAAACTGTCATAAAAAGATAAAGATCAGATGTGTCAGTGTTATAACTTACCCTGAGTCCAGATCAGGATCACACCTAGAACCCTCAGAATGGACGTCATTTTGTCTCGGTGTAGGTGATTATGATCTGAAGAAGGCAGGAGACCAACTTTAAGGTCCTGAGCCGGAGTATCTGATTGGACAACTGCCTTCACATAACTCCACCTGATTGGTTGGTTTTGTAACGTCATTGACAGCCGCAGACTGTTGATCAGAAACTTTCAAATAGAATGCTGAAACATAAATTTAAACATTCCGTCCTCAGTCTCATGTTCATTATTTATAGGGCGGTTGCATTGAAGGGCATCAGTTTGTTTTTAGTAAATAGAAATAGTAAAGCTCTGTGCTACTGATTGATTCCTCAAGAAAAGTGTAGAAATAGATTTTAAAAAGTAAAAATGTACTTGTGATTTAAGTCAATGGTGTGTATAAAATAAAAACATGTATTTAGACTGGAAACCTCAAACTCTAGACCGGCTGTTTTCAGAAGTAGTACTTTTGTTGAACTCAGCTTCATGTTGACCATGAGTAGAGTTATGGCCATGATGCTCTGCTGCAGAGACACGTTCACACTGGTTGTGTGGTTGAGACGCTGCATGCACTACAAAGGCTTTTCTTGGTAGGGCCTAAAATATTTATGCTCATGCTCACCGAAGTACGACCGATGTAGGTGTACTAAATAAACTGATGAAACTTGATATAGAACAGCTTAAAGGTTACAAACCCTTCACCAGATATAATACAGAATACAAACAAATACACATTTACAAGCACACATTTTATTTATTCAAGTTCTATCAAAGAGGGTGTATTGCACTTCTGCGAGGTTGTCATTTCTAACACATATTTAGATCATCATTGGAAAATTGCCATCAGGGGTGACGTGGGTTTGTAGGTTGAGTCAAACTGTTAACCTTAAGGAGAGTTCGAACAGGGCCCAGTAGAGATCTCTGAAGTAGTCAAACATGTATTGATTGAAGGACATTATAACTTGGTAGAATGCTCCAAAAAATTTATTTTGCATTATACACCCCCTTTTTCAAATAAAACAACAACAAAAAACACAACAGTGAAATGTGAACGCACCATTACATTCTGACATAAGTTCATCAGTGTGCTGAGTGGGATTGTAGTTGTGTTATTGACACATTTTACAACTTTCAGATGCCAGAGGACAGTGTTGCTGCGAAGGTAAAACTAACAACAATTAGTACACTTCCTGTTACTTGAACATTAGATGTAGAGAGCACACAATGGACAGATTTTCTTTGACCTCAAGAGTGGTCTATACAAAACATGTGTCAGGACAAAGTTTGCTCAAATACAAGGAAGAAAATCAGACAAAATTAAAATGACAGATTCATGAACTTTACAAACTGACATTTGTTTACAGATGTTAAATTCTCAAACACAACATATAGACCAAGTTACTGGGTCACATTATGTAATATGTAAAACAATAAACCCCCACAGAAATGCTGAAGAATCCACTGGAGCCTCCGTTCTCGTGTAGCGGTTCATTTGGCTTGAGAGATTCTCACTACAGAGTACGTGAGCAGCTCTGCTGGAGCCTGTGCGGGCCGTTGATTCACTTGGGCATAAGTGTGACTCTCTTCAGCCTGGAACACAACACGAGCATTTAGAAAGAGAAATGGAGCTACTGGGAGCTCAGGAGCTTCCTGGATGAGTGTATAAATATCATATATATATATATATATATATATATATATATATATATATATATATATATATATATATATATATATATAAAGCTAACCTCATAATCCTCATAAACTTCAGGAGATCTGCGAATGTCTCGCTCCACTTCTGTGAATCAAATACATGTTTCTGTTATGGATTTGATGATATTAAACATTTATGGTGAGATACTTTATAGTTACAAAAAACTTAAGTTTTTCTGTTATAAAATTGAAAAATGTAATATTTTTTATGTTTTCAGATAGAAATAAGGCATAATACTATTAACAATTAAAAATGTGTGCATTGTATTGAAATAACAATGCAAACAGCAGCTGAGTGACACTTTCTCCTCACAAAGTTTGCAGTGACTCCCCGGACACTCTATGTCTCTCTGAGCACTGTGGTTTCTCCCATCAGCAAAATGTGCACAATAAGAGAAACCTCCAGCTAAAGGAGTCGTGACCAAGACCAGGTGCTCAAGCATCATGCCCATTGCTCCAGAGAGATGACCCCAGCAGTACTGAAAGGTCAAATGCAGAGGACAACCTCCGACTGTAACAACACAGTGTACCTTAAATCTTCATTTGTGAAAAGGTGAATTTTCAGTGGTTTTGGGGACGTTGAAAGTATCATAAGTCAGGATAGGATTTTATTTTTTTCAAACTTTGCATACATCTATGGATTAATTAAACAAAAATAAGTTTGTTTCTATGTTTTATGAATGTGACCAGCACCTGTAGTTTGCGTCTTGTTTTTTCTTATCAGTCGCACCAGAAGAAGAACAGTCACTGCAAACGCCACACACACCAGAATCAGGACCACGGCCGCTGGGCTTACGCGCGCTCCTCATTCCCTTCAAAATAAAAAAAGAAATACACATTATTATTTTGACCACACATTGTATTTTTAGCCCTCAAAATACTTAGACTGTCTATGTTTCATTTTTATGATAGGAAATAACATTGTGATTTTACAAATATGGATGTCAGAAACTTCTTTTGACTTTTATTCACAGCTTTTTAATCAAAATATTACGTGACATTAAAGTGCACTGTGGAACTTTTCTAGTGGAGGAGCTGCCACCTGCTCGTCTCCAAAGTACTCAGTCACTTTAGAAGAAACGTAAGAAAGAAGGATTCACATTTTTCAAGTTATTTTTGCAGTATAAATGCCAGTAATGGAATACATTTAAGGATAAGTTAAGTTTGAATGCCATACAACGGAACATTCCAGACACTGCAATAACATCCCATGAAAGACAAGAAAGAAAGTTACTTACATTTTCAGCTACTTACATTTTTATGTATTATCTATTGTTTTGTTTTTTTTTTAAAGCTTGAGGTTTACATTATTTTAAATGCACACTTTATGTTTAATTAATTGAGTTTTGATAAATAATTGAGATGGATAAGATTTATTTATTTTTTATTTTTTTTTCAATGGGACTGTCTTGTGGATAGATTTGATGCATGAACAAGGCATTAAAATGTGAATTTGGTCTATGTAAATTACATTAAAAACAGCTAAGGAGAAATTTTATTCAGTCAACTGGATGACCCCCCCCCCCCACACACACACACACACACACACACACACACACTCACACACATATTGGAACTAGTTGTGTTGAAATATATTGGCATGTACCAAATAACCAAAAAAGGTCTTTTACCTTATTACCAACCAACTCAGACCTTCTTCTGCTTTTGAACTTTTATCACAGCTTTGATCAAGTTTTGATACTACAAACATGCTCATTTTTGACTGTGAGACTTTGAGCCTTGTCCTTAAGGAGCACAGGTTCTGGATTTTTCTTTTCTCTTTTACTAAGAAAACCATCTGAAGCTCTCACTTTCCCTTTGTAAAAACTATTGGATTTGCTTTATGTCTACATACACCTTGAAAATGCATTAAAGGTGCACTGTCTTTTAAGGTGGAGGGTTCGTTGCGCGCTTGTCTGCATGGGGATGTTATTTCTTTGCCTAGTATATTCCACAGTAGGGCATAAAACATCTCTCTCTTGCATTTGTTCAATTACAGTTTTTTTATAGAAAAATAAAAAATACCTTAAAAAAACTGACTCTCTTCTCCATAGATCTGATCATTAACCTGTCTCCATTGTGATTACGGCGGGAAGTCCACCAGAAAAGTTCACAGAGCACCTTTAAACCAGTCCTCACCTTGTTCTATCCAGGTCCCTGTACCCAGCAGCGTGCGTCCACAGACAGTCACCACACAGACGTAGGTCCCAACTCCAGCAGAACTGAAGTCCTTCCACGTCAGGGTCACGCTATGAACACATGAAGTTTCTCCTGTGTCGCTCTTCTCACAGGACATCCCGGTGTTCCATGAAGGCATTTGAGAAGCAGAAGTACTTTTAGCCCATTTGACACTGGTGTCTTCTTCAGGACAGAGGCTGGTGTTAAATGAGCAGCTGAGAGTCACAGAGTCTCCTGGCTGCACTCTGATATAGTCTGGACTCTGGAGCACAGATGGTCTGGACCTGGACTCTCCTTCAACCACCACAACGGTCCCTGGTCTGAAGTCCATAGACTCATTTTTATTTATTCCACAGTAGTATGTACCGGCGTCTTCCCATGTTACGTCTGGCACAGTCAGATTACTACCAGTATCGTGGGACTTCACTGAGTAACGTTTATCTTTGAGTATAAGACCTGAAACACGAAGTTCTATTGCTATTTTTTGCAATCTCCTGTTGGTGTCCAGTTTGTACCAGCCCAAAGTTCTCCAGTCTTTCTCGACTTCACAGTTCACATGAAGCACGTTTCCGAGTCTCACTTTTTGGAAAAGTCCAGACTGAAGCTGAGCCTCAACTGCAAAAAAATATTTATATAATTATAGAAATTTAGTTTTTTTTTTTTTTAAGTGATAGGGCATAATTGCTTTAGTTTTCATACTCACCATGAGACCAGAGAAGAATCACAGCCACAACCTTGAAGAGCATCTTGTCACTTGTGATCTGAAGTGAGCAAAGATGAAATATAAGCCCCGTGATGAGGGGTTCTGATTGGACACAGCACATGCGGAACTTAACCTGATTGGTTGATTTTGTTAATACCACTGACTGACAACCACAAAGGCCCATAATAAGACACACAAATGGACCTCATAATAATAACAGAAGATACCGTAAATACTTCTTGTGTGGTTTTCTCACATCCAGGTTTATCTGCTTGAGTATAGTTTACTTGTAGAGGTGTTTGTGGTAACAGTGAAACTGGTTTTAAAGTGACAAAGTTCACGTCAGTTTTCATGTGTTTTTTGTGATTTCAATTTAAAGATCATCACTGATTTGATGTGAGGCCCTTAAATGGTTAAACAAAACACATGAACTGAAACTCAATGACATCTGACATGGGGAATAAAAACAAGACCAGGAACAAGATTTGGGACTGATGCCTTGTTGGGGGTTAAAAAAAATATTTGACAACATTTTTCCTGACTCACATTGTAAACGAGGACAGTCAAAGTTCTATGTGTTTTGAGTAAACAGATTTAAAAGGCCCATATTACACTCTTTTCTGAACTATTTTATCCAGACTTTAGCCCCACTGAGAATCTTTGGGTTGTGCTGGAGAAGCTTTGTGCAGCGGTCAGACTCTACCATCATCAGTGCAAGATCTTGGTGAAAAGTTAATGCAACACTGGATGGAAATAAATCTTGGGACATTGCAGAAGCTGATCGAAACCATGCCACCTCGAATGCATGCCGTAATTAAAGCTAAATGCAGTCCAATGAAATATTACACTGTGTGATAACTGTGTGATGACTTTTGTTTTGGCCAGGCAGTGGCAGTGTCAGAAAAAAGACATTCTTTCCTAAGCCGGTTGGTACGTTGTGGTGCCTGTAATCACTGTGCCCATATCAAGAAATGAACATCTTTTATAGACTCTTCAGGTCAAAAAACCTTTACATGTCACCATTTGGCAAATTGTAACACTACACATGTTTATCGGTTAGAACTGTAGCTGTGCTTCTATATAGGACGGACAAAACGGAGACTCAGGCTACGTTTATAGAATGATGGTCTGAACAGAAGACGCAAATTGTGGCATCGCATCTTCACTTTTTATTCCGGGTTTAGAAGAGCATACGGTGACACAAAAGTGTGTGGAATTCGACTGGGTATGTTTGTACTTAAAACAACAAGAGCGTCTTTGGACATGTGGAAGTTTTTACGTCACACATTTTCATCAGCTACTCCTTCCACAAAGTTGTTCCAGCATCGACTGGTTCTCCAGGTCTCATCCATATCTATCTCGCCTGAGACCAACTGGTGCATCCAGAATTTGAGGTGATTGCAGAACCTTCTCTGTTCACTAATAGTATCTCTGCACATTCTGCACATTTCTTGGGAGCCTCCTGTAAGTTTTTTAGAGCTGCCAGAGCAGCTTGAAGGTTCGATGCATGGAAATGATCCCATATGTTTATGTTTGTTTCTGTGTACTGTATGTATGTGACGTAAACGTGTACATGACCTGAGCAGGTCTGACCAGAGTTTTGCTTCTTGGGCAGTGTAGACAGAAACAGTACGGCGGAGCCTATTCAACTTTTCCACTCTGGAGGGTGCGTTCAAATTTAAAACGCTGTTACCGTCTAAACGAAAGGCATTTCCGATAAAATATGTTGATGTTTTTACCCACAAGCATTCTCATGTAAACAGGCTCTCAAAGATTGCTTTTGTAAACATAAAAACACCATTAGAAGTAAAAAAAAAAAAGAAAAAATTACCCAAAGGCCATACATTTTCAATCCTCTGCTCAATGCAGAGTCAGCCTCTTAAAAGTCATGGTAGAGGAGGTAGTCCCTCTAAACCAGGTATGTCCAAACTATGGCCCGTGGGCCAAATGCGGCCCTCAGACAATTTTTTTTGGCCCTCAGGCTTCCAGGTGAATTGGCCCATATTACCTTGCATCAATTAAAAATTAACTTTTTACTGCAAGTTTTTTTTTTTGAAAATTGATAGCTCATATTCAAAGCTCATATTTAATATTTAGTTTGTGGTTTAAAGGAATGAGACATCAGTCTTTATTCATGCTGACTTGTTAAACATGCACATATTTCAATTATTCACTGTACTGAGCACCAGTCTACGGCCCTCCCTCTGCCCTCTGCTTCATTTGTGTTTAGACATGAGGCCCTTGATGAAAAAAAGTTTGGACATCCCTGATCTAAACATTAGAGGGGATGATAGACTCCATCAATTGTCTAAAATGAAAACCTTGTGGACTGTAAGGCCACACGACATCCGGGCCTTAATGACGATTTGGATTATTCAGTGTTCTTCTGAAACTTTACTTTCTTGGAGTTCTTTAATGTAGATGATGTTTTTGACCTGTGGTTTCTAATTGTGTATTAATTATTGCACATGAGATGGACACACCTACTTATCTCCAACATGTCCTGTTTATGTTGTTGCGACAGTTGTGACAGTGGGGACTTCTGAACGTGAGGTGGATATTCCTTTAAAGTTTGTTGGAGGAAAAACTATGGGCACAGATGGTTTAACAGTGTCCTGGTGTGCACCTGAGACTACTGCGATGAGGAATGGATGGTAAATATAATGGAGAATGGAGTGGACGGATGGGGAGAGGAGTGAATAAAAAAACGTAGCACGTGTTTCTATATGTGGGCTGAGGTTGGAGACGGTGCTGCAGGTTTTGACAGGGCTCCTCCGTCACATGAGCTGAAAACATTCTAACATGACTTAAAGCTCACGAGAGTCAGTTTTGCACATGATCAGACCTTTAATCTAATTGACAGTGACAGTTTATGATGGTGAGCTAAGAGCCTCCCCCTAAAATTCTAAAAACATTCCATTTCTGTTCAAAGGGAGATTCTCTTTCTGCACAATAATAGTTTCCTTCACTTTTTCAAACCAGCCCTTCTGTCTGCGCCATCTGCTCGACAGTATTAACGTGGACTCCAGACTTTAAATGTTTTTTATGTTGATACAGTCTTTTCTGTAGTGGTTGTTTGCTCTTCCCAATGTCCTGCTCACTGCACTTCTGTCCTACAGTCAATATCAAGTGAATATAAAGGTGAAGGTCTGTTTTTGTGTTGGCGTCTCATCCTTGTGATGAACCAGTTTCTGTCTCAGTGTGTTGACTGGTTTAAAATACACAGGAACTTTTCTAAACTCCTTTGTAGTTTTTCAGATAGAGGATCTTTGGTGTCTGTTATTGTTTACTAGTACAAAATAAATCTGATCACAAAAACATCTGGTTAATCAGTGGGTTTTTAGGCAAAAATGAATGAAAAGAATGAGAATTATTTTTCAAAGTAACTCAGTTTTGTGTGAGGATCTCGTCCAGGGAAGTCCTTTGTGACTTCTGCTGTTAATCAGTCTTTGGTGCAATTGTGGATGTGGTCAGTGCATTAAAATGTTTTATTAAAAAATAATCATATTATGCTTCAGGAGAATATATAAATATTTTAATATATTTACATTATGTCTTGACTGCTTTAAACTAACTTGTTTGAAAGTTGTTTTAGATCAGTGCTTCTCAAATAGTGGGGCGCGAGGCTCCGTCAAGGGGGGCGCGTTTGACCTCGGGGAACATGCTTTTTTATTTTTTATTTTTATTTTTTTTTACTGTCCTAGAATAAAGTGCAATTGCACTTCCACTACATTAGGGGGCAGTGGCACTCTCATTGGCAGAGTGTGCGCAGGGAGCATTCGCTCGGTGGTGTAGGAGTTTTGTTTGCACTGAGCATGCGCGCTTTGCACACAGCACAGAGGCTGTGTCTCAATTGAAAGGGCTGCAGCCTCCAAAGGCTGCGAAGGCTGCGAAGGCTGCGAAGGCTGCGAAGGCTGCGAAGGCTGGGTCCTTCGTCGGCCGCGAAGGCTGCAGCCCTTGAACTGGCCTCCGCGGACGCCAGGCCGTTGCGGAAATGGGACAGGTGTAGCCCTCGGAGCCGCTCCCCCGTCGCCTAGCAACCGAGGGACGCTGCTAGAGCTAATGCTAATGCTAACACGCTCCGCGCAGATTACGCACACGGATCAGTAAAAAGACGCACAGGTCATCAAACTGTCGGATTTTGTGACCAAATTATTTTAATAATTCGCATCCAAATCTTATGGCCAAAAACGAAAATGTATGTTTAACTTTTGCTAAACAAAACGGCTATATTTAAGGGATACATTTTAAATAGACTAAATTATCTTAAAGTAAAAAAAAAAAAAAACTGTGATGAGATATGCATTACTAAATATTATCATTATTAAGGATTTGTAAAGAAAGAAAGACGTCTCTCCTGAGAAAAGCTGGTTTATTAAACAATCCAAGGAACTTCTGGAAATACTTTATCATAATATGAAGTCAAATATTAAACCCATTACACACACTCTGCATTAACAGGTTTGTACAAACAGCTGTATGTCAGTAAATCTCATTGTGTTCCCTTTTTGCTGAAGCAAGTGACAATCAAAAATGAACAAATTATCTTTGCCAGATATGATCATGTGGAACACCACAGCTTATCTGCAGTACAATAGTACTTTCTTATAGTACATGTAATTAGTTACTATCAAAAGAGACACCAAATAAACGGCACATTTCACCATAAATCAAATGTCAGTACAGACTGAAAAAACATTCAGAAAAAACTTATGAGCAGATGTTTTCATTTCTGTCTCGCACACACTTGTTCAGATCATATGAGACTCTGGACCTGCTCCTCAGAGACATGGACAGTGGACTTGGACCACTCAGTCTGATGTATCTCTCGTCTTCTGGAGGAGGAAGAGCAGAATGGGCGTTAGGTCTGATTGATTCAAAGTTCTGTCCTGCAGAGTGAAAACCTGTAATGACACACACATTAAGAAAACTACAAAACTATTAGAGGAAAATAAGTTTGACAGAGCATGTAGCCCCAAAGAACACCTGGACTCCCCCCGCACTATTTACATTAATTATTATTTATTTATACGCAAGGGAGTGAGAAAAACTATTCTTTATATGTTTTTCGTATGAAGAATTGACAATAAACAATTTTAACGTTGAACTTAAACTTTGATGTACATTCAGATTCAAAGGCAGTTTATATCTGAAACAGCTAAATGAATAGAGGAATCCCACACGTGAGAAATACATATTTTCACAATTTAAATCATATAATTTCAACATGAGCATGATTCATTTGCAGCTCTTATTATTAGTAGAATTTTCAATGTAACATGCCCCATACCTAATCGTTGGCAGGAGTCTGGGTCAGCACCTCCAGCTCAGTGTTGGCTTTACTTTGTCATCTGCATTTGACCCATTTTATGAATCACAAGCATCTTGTCAGCCAACAGTTCTGTGGCCCCTGCAGTGTGTCGTGTCCTCATACAGGAGGCTGCAGATGAGAAAAGAAAATTCATGTAAAACAGATTTCTCATTGTTATAACATTAGATGTGACAGAGCGAACAGACACAGTCAGGTCGAATCTACACCAGGTCGTATCTACACCAGTGTCTGCACAGATCTGTTCAATGAGCCTCATGTCCATCATAAATCTGACCTGTCCAGGCAGGATTATCTACTTATCATGTTACAAGACACAGATTGTTAAAAGCAGATAATGTATTCCCTGAATGAAATGCACACGTTGGAGGCATATATTATGTGATTTACAAGTAAATATGAGCTTTGATAGAGTCAAACTGAGTCTTTTCAGTTGAATGTATGAAATAGTGTGTGTTTTCATCTTAACTCCGAGCTACACTGACCAACTGTTTACATGTTTACACTGTCCGTGAAAACGTGGAGTTTTCTCCTCGTAGCTTCTTTAAATCACTCTGTGGGCTTCTTTTCCCCTAACAGTAAAAACATGATGAGTGTTTAAAGGAAATCTGTCCAAATATGAAAGTTTGAGTGGACTTTTCATCGCATTAGCTGCACATCACTAGGCAAACTTTAGCTCAAAACTCCGCAGTTCACGCAGTTAAAAACAAACTTATTTGACAGTTTTGTGGGAGTTATGGTCGTATTTTACATTTACAGTTGTGTTAGTAATGATTTCCTAAAGTTAAAAGTGTTACTCACATGTTTTTCTCCGCTCTCCGGACGGGCTTTTGCTTTTTTTTCGCTCCGTGTTTTCGAACATGTGACTGCCGCCGCGCGGTGCATGCTGGGATACTGAAGGCTGCGAAGGATACTCGGATGTGTCCTCCGTTCACGGCCCCATCTCCATGGAAACGAGGCCGGTTTTAGGGCTGCATTTGAAGGCTGCATGACATAAAAATGAAATGGGACAGGCCTTGTTTCACCGGAAGTGACGTATGCGGCCTTAAAACCAGCCTTCAGAGGCTGCAGCCCTCGAATTGGGACACAGCACAGAGTTTGAGTATGAAGTGTAGACACGAAGTGTAGCAGACCCTCAAGTGACACCATGAAAAAATATTTAACAGGGATGAGAAGACAGACGGAGAGAGACGGAGATAAAGAGACAAACGAAAATCTCCCGAAAGCTAAGACGAGGAAATATGACGAAGCGTATGTAGCGCTTGGCTTCACTGTGACTACGGTGGGAGACGAGGAAAGACCGGTGTGCTTACTGTGTCTAAAAATGTTGGCAGCCGACAGCATGAAGCCCAATAAATTAAGGCGTCACTTAAATACATTACACCCCAATCACTCTGATAAGCCGCTTGAGTTTTTTTCAGCGAAAACGTGCCGAATATTGCCGACAATCATTCCGCTTTGTGACTGCTACTTCAGTAAACCAGCGAGCATTGTTGGCGTCATATAAGGTGGCAGTGTTATGCAGAGGTGTACTTATAACAATTTTATAGACAAATGATACTATTTATAGTCACGCGGGGGGGCGCGAGATGTTTTATTCTTCCTAGGGGGGCATGACAGAAAATAATTGAGAAGCACTGTTTTAGATGAATGCACCCATCAGTAATACAGTTTGTTGTTTATTTTGAAATGCCTAATTTACACTCTTCAGATGTAAACTATTGTGTAGTAACAGAAACAGAAGCACAAAATCCACAAAAAGTTTTTTTTTTATTTTTTTTTTATTATTGTTTTGTTCTCACATTATTTTTAACTTGCATTTGGTAAAAAAAATAAATAAATAATAAAAAAAAATATACATATTTGGCTTTAAACACTGCAAGACTGCATAACTATTTTCTTATTTATTTCTCGTTTTCTTAATTCTGACGTCAGAATACAGTACTGTGTCCTCTTTGGGTTGTATGGAGGTCCCCCTGCTGGTGGCGCTGTGGTGCCCTATCCTGACTCTAGCATATGTAACACTGTCTTCAACCTAAACAGAAAAACAAAAAATATAACAGAAACACACACAATTTCACATGTCTCCACTTAAAGATGCACTATGTAACTTTTCTGGTGTTCTGACATGTCTTTGTCTGAAATGTTCTGCAGTATGGCATTAAACAACTGTCTCCATGGAGCCAAGCAGGTGGCAGACCCTCCACCACAAAAGTTACATAGTGCTCCTTTAAATATGACATTATTGACATGACTAATATGAATTATGTGAAAATGATTGAAAATAATATAAAAATGATTCGACCTGGTTGTGTTGAGGAGAGTCCAGACTGCACAGAGCTCTTCCTGTAAAATAAACACACGGCTTTGCTTTTGTGGAGTTGATAGTGTTGACACTTTTCTGAATGACAACTGTACCTGGAGTTTGTTTGTCAAACTTCTTGCAGCTCACGAGCACCAGGGCAAGAACAGACACCACGAACGCAACAGAGACCACAATCAGAGCGATGGAGCTTTGACCCGGAAGAACTGGAAGATTTTCTGCAAACAGGAAAAAATATACATCTCAAACAGAATTGGATCTATCCAGTCTGTCTATATATAGTTTGGCCATACTTTTACAGAGACAGAATAAATCTGAATAAGATCTTTATAACACATATCAAATAAATAGATAGAGAAATCAATAACATGAGTCACAATGCTAAGATTACTCTGATTCTTGAGTTCAGTATTTAATTGTAAAAAAATAAAATAAAATAAATAAAACATAATAATAAATACATTAAAACTAAATAATAATTTTGGTCACTTAACATTGTGAAGTAGTTTTCACAGTTTTTTCAGTGATATTCAGTCAATAATTCTGGTTTTAAGTTCTTGCACAGCGTCTGCTTTTAATTTTGTGATTCTGGTCGCTCTTCTGTGCTGATGCTCCTAAACCTGAAAGCGACATTTCACACTGTTGACTATAAAATTCTTCTGTCCCGTCTCATATGTGCAGGGATTAAAAGCACTGTGCTGTGACAGGGTTTTCTCAGTTAATGTTGGAGCATTTACTTCACAAAAAGCCCCTCTTCACAGTTATGTGCTCAATGTTAGGACTGGTTTTGTTTTTCCTTTATAGTCAGTCATAGGATTAAAAAACAAAAACAAAAAAACATAAGACTTCTTTTCCTTGCTTTGCTGATGAAGTCCAGATTAGAATAGACTTATTTGTGTATTACTCACGTTCTGTTTCTTATCTTATCTATATTGTTGAGCACTTTGGGACAGTACTGTCTGTTTTTCAAAGTGCCAAATAAATAAACCTTCATCTTGATCTTGAATAAGATGCAGACTTTGCTCCTGGGAACAAATGAATCTGCAAAATGAGGTGTTTGGACCAAAAGGCACAAAACAGAAGGAGAAAATGCAGATGAAGCTGTTGAGCGGCTGCTGCTTCATTTATCAAGATGATGAGAGCAAAAACCTCATGGACATTTAACACATTGGAAAGTTTCTGCTACAACTTTGCATTAAAAGTGATGTTAAGTAAAAGTGCACAAGTCAAATTTCTAATACATAAAGTTAAAATAAACTAATAATCACACTGTTTTGAAGGTGTCCTGTGCATCGTATTGAGTCCACACAGTGTGTGGGACAAGGCACAGTCCACATGGTGACTCTGCCGGTCACAGATCACTGATCTCTGTGCCGGTGTCAAATGGCCAAGCCGTACACGCATGGCTCTTGTTTGTGCACCTTTTGTCTTTTGCTCTGCTATGATGTGTCTCAGACTTTGTATTTTCAGCAGCTTTATTGGCTACAGAAAAATGTTTATGTCTCTTGTGTGCTCACATCAGCTGTTTCTCCTTTATGCATCTTTGGAATTTTGGAAAACCACAGATAATGTGGTTCTAAATAATTATTTACCCAAGAGCACAAACACATGGATAGATTTGTCTCTAATCATAATAAATACTTAAACTACAGCTACTGGATTCTCTATAATTCCACAGAGCTTCATTGTTTGTATAATGACAAATAAGAGACTTGACTTACTGTACATTTCTATCCTTGTTCCAGAACCAAGCATCGTGTTTCCACAGGCAGTCACCACACAGAGGAAGGTCCCATTTACAGCTGAACCAACTTCTCTCAGGATCAGGTTATGAACACATGAAGTTTCTCCGTCTTCTCTCACCTCACAGCTCATACTGATGTTCTCAAAGTTCCATGAAAAAGTTTGAGAACCACTTTTAATCCAAGTGACACTGGTATGTTCTTGTGGACAGAGGCTGGGGTTAAATGAACAGCTGAGAGTCACAGAGTCTCCTGGCTGCACTCTGATATAGTCTGGACTCTGGAGCACAGACGGTCTGGACCTGGACTCTCCTTCAACCACCAGAGCTGTTCCTGCTCTAAAGTCCACAGAGTCGTTTTGATTTACAGAGTCTCCTGGCTGCACTCTGATATATTCTGGACTCTGGAGCACAGACAGGAGTGAAGGAGGAACAGTCTGCAGGACTGAAGGTGGAGGTCTGGACTTTCCTTCAACCACCACCTCAGTCCCTGGTTCAAAGTTGACATCGTACTCGTTCATGACTCCACAGTAGTACGTGCCGGCGTCCTCCCAGGTCACATTTGACACTCTCAAAGTATTTCTGTCTTTAGAAGACTGCACAGAATAATGGGAATCTTTATAGATATTTTGACTTTTACGGGGATTTGCTGATGCCATCAGTTGTAGTCTCCTGCTGGAGTCCAGTTTGTACCAGACCACAGTTCTTGAACCACTGTAGACTTGACAGTTTACATGAAATGTGGCTCCCAGTGTTGTGGTTTGAGAGAATTCAGGTTGAGATTGTGTCTTAACTAGAATTTTAAAAAAAGAAAAAAACTGTCATAAAAAGATAAAGATCAGATGTGTCAGTGTCATAACTTACCCTGAGTCCAGATCAGGATCACACCTAGAACCCTCAGAATGGACGTCATTTTGTCTCGGTGTAGGTGATTATGATCTGAAGAAGGCAGGAGACCAACTTTAAGGTCCTGAGCCGGAGTATCTGATTGGACAACTGCCTTCACATAACTCCACCTGATGGGCCGTCTTTGTAACGTCACTGACAGCCGCAGACTGTTGATCAGAAACATTCAAGTACAAATATATTTGAATATTCTGTAATATTGTGTGTTAAAGTCCTGGGGTGGTTTGGTGGAACGATGTGTGGGATTGTTTTTAATGGAAAGTAAAGTACTTGTGCTACTTGACAAAAGTGTATAAATACATTTTAATAAGTAAAAACACTTCTTAATTCTGTGCAATATTAGATCTTGTCATATATATATAGTGAAAAAGTATTTAGACTGAAAACCCCAAACTCTAGACCTCCTGATTTAATAGTAGTTTTGTTGTACTCACCTTCATGTTGACCATGAGAAGAGCTATGACCATGATGCTCTGCTGCAGTGACAGACTGAAACTGGTTGTGTGGTTGAGACGTTGACAACACATGTATGACCACAGTAGGTGTGTTGATGTGAAACAACACAAAGGTTACAGCCTTCGCCAAACAAGCAAACACATACTGGTTATGCACACAATTTTATATATATATATATATATATATATATATATATATATATATATATATATATATATGTGTTTAATTAATTATGATCTGTAATTAATTAACCTAATTAATCTCATTTTAATCTCACCTAAAAATTGCTGAGAAAAACCTTCAATTTGAGGTATTTTCATTTAAATTCATTATTACATTATTGTGGCAGATCAAAAGACTGATATAGAACAAAAAAAGTGACTTTATAAAGTCATTTATTGTTTAACAA